TTTTTCACCTTCGGTGGCGAACTAGAACTGGCACTGCAACAGTGGCGCCCCAGCCTTCGCGTGACGTCTTCCCATATCCATTCCGCGCCTCTGTCGCAACGGACCATGCCCGCCGACCCTGTTTTTTATGTCCCCGAATGAGCTAGGCGCTGATTTACAGTGGGTTCGTGGTCGCCAATAGACTTTGCTAGTCCCCTGCGCCAAGCGACCGATCGCGTGGGCACCAGGGGACTTGACTCGGTGGTCTCCCCCCCCCAAAAGCCAAGGAAGACTGAGCCGGATCGTCAGTAGCAGAATTGTCTCAGCTCCCCTCCCTCTTGCTTGTCACTTTCTACGCTTATCTTGAAGTTGTGAGACCGAGTTATCCGGGCCCCAAGATTAGCACAATTGATGGTGCGCGTTAATTACTCCGTCTAGTCCTGTCAAAGAGGAGCTCAGCACAGATGCCTCCCCACTTACCGAATGAGGCATCTCGAATTACGTGACTCGTGGGAGGCGTCTTTTCTTGCACTCGTTTCTTTTCATTTAGAGTGACATGTCTCTTTTTGCTTCGATTCAGCTTCTTTTTTGCATCAAAGCGTTCGCTTCTATGCAAGCCTCTTTTCCGACCTATCGATTCTGGGACAATGTTACGTGCTCTTTATCTCTTAGACCTGCTTCTCGGCTGCAGTCTTGGCTGTTTTAACACGTGGGTATCGGTAAACGATAACCGACCAATCTTTTCCAAGTTCCCCGATATTATTCCCCTGAACTATTGCATTAATGACCTACCCTCTCTCAATCAATGACTTGTGCTTATTCCATCCGGGGTAGGATTCATAGCCTCCGCGATAGCCAAGCAATAGAGCCGTGTGCTGTGCCCTTATATGGTGGGTTATAAGGTGATTCGGCCTCCGGAGATGAATCCGGATTTACCTTAGCGAATGGCCCCCGTATAGAGGAGTCCACTCTGCTGCGGGAGGCAGCCTTAAGAGGGAGGTGATAATTGATCAAGGGCCGAGACTGGTAACTTGTAACATGTTATGCGACGATTGCTGATTGATATTACGTACAGTAGCCCATGATCGTTGCAGGGTACGGAGTTTTGAGTCTGGGGCATGCAAGACACCAAAAAAGCAATACTTAATAATTATTTCCTTCTAGAATAATAAGCGGCGGCGCAGTAGAAACAGTCGAACAAAATGTCATGTTAGCTGCAACGTAAAAAGCAAGCAACGTCTTTTATATCCGTGGTTGGGTCATTTGTCAGATCTTACAAGAGTCAGGGACGGAACGGAACCTTGATGATTTGCATTTTGAGTTATTTTCTGTCTCGCTAAAACGTTTCGTTGATCATAATTTGTCCAAGCTCTTCAGCCTCACATCATGACATAATCTTCTGTGGCTTACACGTGGCTCAGTAATCAATCTTGATGAGGAATCACGAAATTGCGCAACGTCACGTGATGCAATTCCCATTTCAAAGCGGCTCTCTGCGATTCTCTCAAGGTCCATGAGAAAGCGGAGGCAAAAAGAGAAAGAAAAATAACGATATAAACACATCGAAGCCTCAACAACGCCAAGATTGCTCACTTCAACTGCCGACACTAAATCGCGTCTCATCTCACCGCATCTCAAAAACTCTCTGCCGATCTCTGTAGATCAATACCAGCAAAACTCAAAAATGGTGCATCACATCACTTCAAACGATGAGCTTCAGAAGCTGCTCTCGTCAACAACATACGTCGCCGTCGACTTCTTCGCTGACTGGTGTCCCCCCTGCAAAGCCATCGCCCCCGTCTACGAGCAGCTCGCCACCAAGCACGGCGTCGACAACGTCCTCGCCTTTGCAAAAGTCAACGTAGACCACGTCCAAGACGCCGCGCGCCAGTACGGCATAACCGCCATGCCTACCTTTCTCTTCTTCAAGGAGGGGAAGCAAGTCGCTGTCAACGGGCAGGTTGAGATCAAGGGCGCTGACCCGCGGAGTCTAGGGGCTGCTGCTGAGAAGCTTGGGGGACTAGCGCAGAAGAGGGTTTCTGGAGCATAGAGGGAAAAGAAAGGGCTTTGGGGATTTTACTCCTGGGGATCGGCCCGTGGAGTTTGGAATTGTTCTTTTGGTCTTGAACTTTAGCGTGTTGGACTTTTGGGGGGGGGGGGGGGGAAGTTAAGATGCTGTGTTGCTTTGAGTATGGTTAGCGACGGGACAAGGGAATAACAAACGTGTCTGTTTCCGGATATGATGAAACGCGGCTGCTGGTGTATAGTGTCATCCGAGGTCTTTCTGACTCGATGACTCTGAGAAGTTGAGAACAATCAATAGAGGAATGCTATGAATATTGCAATGTATGACGATGAATTATTATTCGCTGTTTACTAATGTTTCAAGCTACACCGTGATATTGCGATCGTCATGTCAAGACTCGGGGATCAGCATCGGTGTCACACGCAATGACAATTGACAGCGGTTAGTGACCCAATCGTATCCACAAAGTCTGGCCAAGAGCCTTTTAGCCTTGCAATCCGTTAAGATCTGCGAGATATTCGTAGGGTTTTCCAAGGGTACGACTTACCGACAGAATTGTGTCATTTATTGAGGCTTTTTGTCAATGCTCAGGGTAGGGGACTTGTGAGGCTTGTCTCAATGTCGCTCAACTTCATAATGGAATTATGATTGAATCACAATTTGGGAACTTAAAAGTATTTGATTGAGATATAACTACACTGGGGACAAGACGTGTTCATTTTGGATTGCCATTTATTAATGACGGGGAAGTTGAGACGATCCTTTTGACAAGGCTCAACTACGTCGGTATGGTTGAGTAATTACTAACAGCGTACTTCAGTCACCTGAAATGCGTTTGGCCATACCAACAAACAGCGAATGAAAAAGATAGTAGAGGGTATTGTTCTACCAACAAACCATTCCAAGAAGGAAGCGCGCTGCGCCAGAGAATTGTCGTGACATCTTTGGTGAAGAAGGGAGGTGAACGGGCCGTCGATTCTCATACGCCGCTACTGGGGGTGCAGGGGTGCGAGCTCGAGGAAGCTAGCAAAGGACTCTTATGCTATGGAAATAGTCGTCTTAGATCAAGCAATGCAATGCCTGTTGTGCTATTTGACATCAGACTTGCAGACAAGGGGGCCGTAGACTGATTTCTGTCTTGTGATAAATCTTTGCAAGCTTGAGCTCCTTGCGCCATGGTCTGGATCAGCTTCGTCTATTTCGTCGACACTGTTCACCCGAGCAGGCTAGTGTTTGTTGTTAAGGAGATGATGGGATGGTTGCCACTCGGCCTCGTAGTTTGCATGTAACTAGCCATGGAAATAATTGAAACTCGACGTGTGACGCGATGCAGTCCGCTTGACATCGGAATTCTTCCCGACGTTGGCGGATTCGTTGCAAGTTTGAATCAGCTGAGAAGGGTATAGAAGTAGCCGAAGGCTACATTGGCTCACCTTCGGAGGATTCTTGACTCTTCCGTGGAGTGAGGTTGCGTGGGTAGCAGTATGAGTCTTCGCTCTATCGAAGCCGTTAGCGATGATCGCTCCTGTTACATTCAGATGAAAGTCGAAGGCGTCCATGAGCAGTGACAATATATTGTCGAAGTTTTGGATTATGGGACTTGGAGTACAGCATTGACATGATTTCCCTGTATATCGACAACGTGTGAGGCGCGTGATGTGAGCATCAGCTGCAGGATGAACTGAAGGTCGGAGACTCCATCACAACTCGTCCCAACTTCACTTTTGGCGTTGATGGCAGGCCCAAGAAGAAGTCCGTCGGGGTTAAATTCGATGATTTGCTAGTTATTATCGTGGATCTTCAGCTTTGTCTCGGCTTCTTCACTCCAAGGAGGACGATAAAGTGGTCTTGCATCTGACGGCCGCGAATCGATTGAGTCGCATTCTAAGAGTCAAAGGGATCGAGGCTTGTGTCTGAGTAGATGGAAATATGCTAGAGGTAAACAGATTGTCACATCTGTGTAGATAAAGTTAGCTACTGTGATACTCCTTGTAGGGCTATCTGAAAGATGCCACTTGTCTCAAGAGAAAGAGGCCAGCAAGGGTAAGGCGCTACAGACTTGAAAATGAGAAAATTATGAGGACGGAGGGTGAGAGTAGCTCCAAGGTCGTGGTTGCGTAAGTAGGGACTGGAAACTAGGTATCGAAGTATATGGAGATGCCAAGTCTTTTGAGCTTGTTGTGGCCTCGAAGAGTCGAGTGAATGATTAGACATTGCGGACGGATCAATGGTCAAATCTCAACGAGACATATCAAGCCAACACACTGAAATATTGGGGTGGAGAAGCAAACCACGTAGAATATGTTAACCTGCCACTGCAAACTAGTTGCCTTTTTGAAAGCTGACCGTCTAAATGTGCCATCAGACAATGCGTCCACTGCAAGCGCCGCCAAGTTACGCGTTAAGCCTGCTAGTCAACCATGGGAACAGCCCAGTGACCTAGCTCTCCACTGGCAGCCACGTCGCGACCATCGACCGTTCCTATGGATATATGAACAAGGCCTGATCTCCAGCACTGCAACACAAACCTCGGTCACGTTCTCAGCGTACCCTGTTCAATGGTTTGAAAACAAGTCTCGTCTTTGGCTGTTGGGTCAGGGCTGGCACTGGCGATTAACTGGTCTCTATCCACCTCCACAGTGCCAGTGACAGTGACAGTGAATACTCACTCTCCATAACAGCTGTTAACCTCGCACACCTTTCTACCTTAGTCTCTCTTCCATCTTCCAGCCTTTCCTCTCAACCTCTCTCAACCTCTCTCAACTTTCCTTCCATCCATCTCTCAAACTCTCTCCCTCCCAACACTGACTCTCTCGACCTTTCTTCCATCTTGATTCCTGACAGACCTCCATCGTCTAGACTCATTCCACAAAAGCCAGACTCAAGACTGACGACGCTACCTATTACCCAGGTCAAGTCAAGTCATTCGCGTCAACGTAAGGACATATCTCCCACTCTGTATTTTCAACGTCTGTACTAACCGTCAAATAATAGAATGCCAGCATTCGCCTTTAACGACCTCCCGACGGAGATGCGGAACAAAGTTGTGCTAGACGCGCTTCCCTCCGTCACCGTACCATTTCGGTACCTCTATGATGACATCGCGTGGGTATATGACTACTCCGAAGAGCAGACCATCAAGGCACTGCTGGAAACAAACGCCGACGTCGCTTCCCTTGTGAATCAAGTGCGATGCCTGAAGGCCGTAGGCTGCGATGGGGCCCCCGTCATGTCTAGGATTGGCGGCGTGCCCTTCCGCATCGACCCTTTGCACGACATCTTCCAGGCAGTGGACATGCGTCTTCCTGCCCTTCAGCCTTCTGTCTCCTGGAACCCACAGAGTATTAAAGATCACCATCGCCATGCCTTGCCCGTTGAAAACATCCTCAGTGTGTCGCGAACTGTTTGGCTCCGTCGGGGTCATCCTCGTAAGTATCCCCCGTAAGCTTTGACATAGGATATCCTTTGCTAACGGAATTAGCCCTCAACAACAACAACAACAACAACAACAACCAGAGCGATAGTAACGGTCACGGCTCAAACCAGGCTAGCCCATCTGATGCTCCTATTCCACCTCAGACATACTTGGAGATGCCAATGGAGTCAGACCTCCCCATATTTTCTCGCCTCCCGAAGGCCAAAAATCTCTCTCTAATCATTGAGAATGTTGGCCGAGAGTGGCATGTCGAAGGGTGTCAAATGTTTGGCCCTGATGTTGTTGGACCACGATTTCGTGGAAACGACTGGGGGATACGACGTGCCGGTAGTCACTCCATTGAGGCCCAAAACCATTTCCTGGACCATGGCATTCGTGCGGATACGCGAACTCCCTGGACTTTCCCAGCCGGCTGGGATCGCCTGAGTGATCCCTTGGATCGCTCTGACTATTCGCCAAGTGACGCGCGATTCTCCCCGCCTACCATTGGATTCTATGGCTACAGCCGCGGCAACGTCTCCCTTGGAGGACAGTGGGCAGGGTTCCGACTCTGGGTGAACGAAAACAAGGTCGAGTTCAGCCCTCTCTCTTGGTGGGAGGTAGAGCCACTCATTGGAGACTACTACTCCATCGAGGAGCGCGGTTATCGTACGTGTCACCCTGGTTTTGTGGCTCGCATCTGGGTCATCCGGTCGAAGAAGGATCTCCAGCCAACCAACCAGCCTCACCATCACTGGATGGAGGTTCGTGAGGCAGAGATTGGTGACCCCGAGTGGGTAGAGCAGATCTCGACGACCTGGAAGATGGTCCGCGATATGCTGTCTCGTGTTCGTGGGGAGGTCAGCATTGAGGAGGACAATGAATTGAACCTCGCTGCTGGAAGCTACCGTCTCCAGATGGAGCCCGTTGAGTAGAAGCGACGCCGAGAAGAGAATCATCGAATGCAAGCTGCCAAAGCAGCGCTGCATAGAGAAAGAGGACTCGGTAATAGGCGTGGATGAGTAGATTTTGAGGTGAACTTCCAGGAAATCATGCGAGACAGAGTGTAGCTTTGATAGAGAAGATAAAAAACACCTGTATCCCCTAAACCCATATCCTCTTGAATTCAGTGGACGGCTTCCCCTGTACCTTTAGGTTCAGAATCCCAGTCATCCCTGTGTCCTGTCCAGGCCAAGTTCCGCATGGTGATAGGTAGTCAGTATCGTCGACGTGAACAAGATCCCGGTGACAAAGAGCCCACCCAGTGCTATTGTCACAGAAGACGGGGCAATTTACGAGATCGACGCACTCGTTCACGCCACTGGCTTCGAAGCCATCACAGGTGGCCTCAAGACCATACAAATCGTCAACAGCGCGGGCGAGACACTTTTAGAGGAGTGGTCAAATAGACCGTGGACAAACCTCGGCCTGATGACAGCTGGTTTTCCCAATATGTTCTTCATGTATGGACACCAAGAACCGACGGCTTTATCCAACGGCCCTACATGTGTTGAAATCCAAGATGATTGGATTATTCAAGTTATAGTGAGTGCTAGGGAAGCGGAAAAGCAGCGCATGCGTGCGACTGTGGAGGGACAGGACAAGTATAGAGAGTTGGTGGGCGGCATGACAGCGAATACACTCTTCCCCATGGCAGATACTTATTACATGAGCGACAATATATATGGGAAGCTGAAGAAGGTGCTAAACTTTTGAACTTTCCCTGTGGAATTACGCTGTATAGGGAGCTTCTTGACGAGGCTCCTGAGAAGGACTATGATTGATTTGTGCTTAGCTAGCCAGTTCCGACAAAATGTCGTGTTTTCGTATTTATGGTACCCACTCGTGCGATGAGTGACCAATGCCGTGCGCTATTTTGTGAGACTGAGAACGGTAGTGACTCAATCGCAGCACAGCCTTGAATCCTTCATGCAGGACAGTGGCGCAACATCCCTGCAGCACCGTCTGCCTACGCTTAGGCTGACTCGTGACTTGAGTATATTTAACAAACAGCCAGCCTGTTGTTTCGATTACATATTATCTCACCTAGAACGTACAGAGTAAATGGCGTTCGCAGGATTTCTGATGACCTCTCAGTGAAAATGACCGAGACCTTCACAACGACTTTTCCAACTACTCCAAATCCGACATGGACTTTGCCGCGTTTCACACCGCCGCCAGAATGTCTCGACACGAAGAGCATTTGGAACATGGAAACGGAGTGCTATGGTGGCACGGCGCAAGGGCTTTACAGAACGACGCGGACGTGTAACTACCTGTGGCTGGGGTATACAAACTATCCTTACACGACCGGAGGACCTGGTCTCGGGGTGAATGGCTTCTGTGGTCCTGGATGGGACCATCCCGCAACAGAATGTCCTGTTGGATATACGCCTGCCCACACCGTGGACTATACGCCTGATGCGACCACTTCGCGGGAGATACTGTGTTGCCTAACGTCCGTAGACCGTCGGGATTTTGTCTGTGCAGAAAACTGACTGATTCGCAGAGCATACGACTTCGAATGGGGACGACCAACACTAACAGATCAAAGGGGCAGTTCAGCAACACCATATGACAAATTTTGCGTTGCCTCCAATCTCAAACCATCGGGCACTTCACCCTTGACTCTGACGGCCTTCGATCTCTCTTCCGCAAGCTCTTTACAAACAGACATCCGAGTCTCGACAACAATAAAGTTCAATCCCGAGAAAGACCTCCTCCTTGCATCAGCAGTCACCATATCATATCAGATCAACCCAGGAGGAACCACGTGCGTTCCTGACTGTAATGATCCGTATAGAGGTGGACCTTGGCCAAGGCCTGCACAAACAGTTACTCCAGCTCCCCCGTCACCAAACGATTCTGGTCTAGTGGGATTAGAGAAACTCGCCTGGATAGGAATTGGGTTCGGGATAGTGGTTGGGTTGGGAATTATCGCTTGTATTGGATGTCGTATACATCGTAGTAGGAAGAGGAAGAGGATAGTTGCTGCGGATGGGCCTGCAGCGAACCTAGTAGTAGAAGAAGGTCAGAATCAGGTGTCAGTGGAACTGCAAGTATCGAAGGGACAGAAGTCGGAATAAGCCTTAATATTAATGTATAGTTTCTTGAGTGGTTGGGTTGTTTTGATTTGCACTGCCACTCTGCAGATACCTCGGATCGCTATCTATTTCTAGTGCATAGTAAACCACAACCGATCAACAGCTCCAATAATCTAGTTACAAAATCCCGTGAGGCCATTCAAATCCATTGAATGACGATTACATTTCAGGTCCTTCACTGGAATGTGGTGGCGCAGCCTCGTTGAAGATCGGGGCTGTGCTGACAACTTGATGGTGGACACGGTCAATTTTCACCGAAGGGCCCTGTATCAGCAGGGTTGCAGTTGGCTGTCACAGATTCTTATTGGACGCCTAGGCTTACGCGGTAGGTCTTATCACATTTACTAAATCAGCTTGAGAGAGGTTTTGGACATTTGGCTTACTTTGGCGTACCTTTTATAGTGGCTATGCTGCATGCGCTGTGAAGGAATGGATGGTCGGTGAGAATGCAGCATCAAGATTTCCAGATCGCGGAATGTGGAGATAATCGGTCTTTGAATTATCGACATAATATGTTGCCGTCCCTTCTCTCCGAAGACTACCAACACTTCTCAGATCAGAAGGTTCTTTGCAAAACCCCATGCCCTTTTCCAGACCGAACATCCTATCTCAAGATTATCAATATGGACAAGAACCCCCGTGAGACTTACAGCCACTCTTCTGTGTATCGAAACCATTCCTCTTCTCAAAAGTCTGTTGAAGAGGACAACTGGGAGTCGCGTTCCGAGCCTTTCAGTCCGACGGGTTTGCTCGGGGAAAGATATGATCTACTTAAACAAGAAATCGAGGCCAGATCACAGATACCCAATCAAAACAACAGTCCATTCACAAGAGGTCTTTTGGGATCTCTCGCAGAATCTGAGAGTAGAGGATACCGCCCTTCGTACAACAGCACTAGACCAGCAGGAGGATTGTCTAGAGCGACATCAACAGCGAGCTCTTCAAATCAATACGGGACAAGAAGAACACCGAGTGTATCCTCTGCCAGAACAGACTCTATCTATTGCGCTCAAGCTGGTTTTACACCGCCTCCCCTGTTGGATATCTCGCCTACACTTCCACAGCGACGAGCATCATGGCGAGATCGGAACTTGCAAATGGTCAGATCACCAACTGGTCAGCCACTGCTGAGTTTGCCTGAGACTTCTAGCTCGCAATGGAACAATGCTTATTCAACACCACTCGGAAGAAGCCATTCGGTTGCTGTACGGTCTTCAAGTGATTCTTGGGGAAGTGGATCGGGTCCAAATACAACACCTGTGTCCTTGAGATCAAGTCGCCGTGTTTCTACAGCCACCGCTCCAGCTCGTAGTGAAACATGGCATGGGGGTGACCAGGCCGAGCCGAAGCGTCGAGGGACATTGCGAAGGTGATGAGAACAGGCCCGGTGCTCTGTTGATAGAAGAACAATAACAATTCCACAAGAGCGCAAATTTGAGATAGAACCCCATGGAAAGAGTTTTAATATTAATAAATCTGATTGGCCTTCATGTGCCGTATCAAATGCCGTGTTATTATCCATCTGCGCCTGAACTCATCATACACTTAACCACAGAGTACAGCAATTCTTGAGCCACAACACCACAAACAAAAAGCACAAAGACAAGGCAAGAAGGTAAAACGCAGATTTGCCTGCCAAGGGTATCATGATAGGGGAAAAGGGGATGATTTTGTGAATTGGAAGAAATCGGTGGTGCTTCTGATGAAATCGTCTTGACGGAGGAAATATGTTGGGTTCGCTTTTGCGCTGAGCGTCGAAGTCTCAAACTTTTAGCCCTCGTGATGGTAATGATCCGTGAACCACTTCTTCACGCGGTGAGCCATTCTTCCAAAAGTCCAATGTGTCTTAATATCCGGCTCTTCTTCGTCAGAGGATGTGTCTTCTTCAGATGACTCGTCGTCAAAGTTTGTTGCTTCTTGTTTTAGCCATTCGATAAGGCGCTCGTTGACCTCATAGAGGAACTCGAAAGACATCGCATGTGGGTTATTGCTCGAACCCGTTGGAATTTCTTCAGAAGGGCAAGGCATTGCCACTTGCTTGGCGGTGTCGCAACTTAAATCGTAGTACTTGTTGTCTTGGGTATCTTGGTGACTTGAGGTGTGTTGGTTCGGATCCAAACGGGTCAGAATCAGGACGTGGGAATAGAGAGACAAGTCAACGTCTTTAATTCTACCAGGCATGAACGTTAGTTATATCAACTCTGTTCAGTCATTTAGTTACAAGCTGCATGGCACCGGTACCTTTGTGAGATTTTGTTCTTTGTCCAAAATGGCTTGTTCAAGACTCTGAATGCCCTTGTTCAGTGAAGTTGAGTGTTCAAGGGATGTGTTCAATTTGGTACGAAAGGCTCAGCCTCAGGCCCAGACCTATGCCTAAGATGATTTTGCCAGTGGCAGCAACCAGTTGGATACAGACTTATGGCTGTATGTGGCACCCAGTTCCTGTTAGCAGTTTCCAGCTGAATTGGCATATGGACCGGTTGATAAGGCCAGAATCGGCATAAACTCTTGGCCTCCGACGATGAGATTGAGATTAAGAGTAACTGGTTTATATATTGGGAGTATTCGATGCTAAGGACTGATCGAATGCTCCCCGTCTTCGTCGAATTCGCTCGCTAGTACCATCCGAAATCACTAACGATAACACTAATCAGGACGAATTCGAATTGTGGGACTCGCGAGGATCCAGCCGCAGGTCAAGAAGGCTATACAACTGGACTTTGTCATCCATGGAAAGTATTGCCGCACGGTGACCGTGTAGGTTTTCTTCCGGGGGCTCCGCCGTATCGTAGGCCACAGCCTCTTCAACAGTGATATTATCGATTGATCCAACCAAGTCTATGGCATATGAGTAAGATACATCATTTAATTGCATGAGGACCCTCGACCGAGGACTTTTTATGGAAAGTATATTGTGATGCTGTCGCTGAAGGAGGTTGGGGGAGATATCGTTTCTATCAAGCCTCGCCTTCAATACCACTGGAGCAAACCCATAAAGGCGCAATCAACCTTGTTTTCGTCGATGATCGAAGGGATCTGTTAATCTTGAATACGGATTAACGCTGAAATCGGAAAAGCTAGGCACTGTTGTCGGTCATGGACGGAGTGACTCTGATTTGCCTAACCTTGACCCTTATCTTATGGCTCCTGCGACGAAATCATTATGACCTCGAGCATTAGTTTGGATATTTAGAGCTGCTATAGGTTATCTGCATATTCTCGATGATCGATAATATGTCTGTTTTTGAAGGTGGTACCCGTATTCTCTACTGTCAGTGGTGGACAGTGCACCAACGTTATCATCGGTTAAGCTGAAATTGAAATGACCAATTCTCTCCTTAGTTTCAAGAGAGTGGCCATAGTTGATTCAGTGATCTAAGGTCTATTCATGATGTGCTTTCTGGATTTGAATCTGGCTTAGAGGTAACGACCTTGTACCGCAGAGTGACTCCGATCCGAGCTCTAGCCTCATGCAAGCACCTCTGCCAAAGGCCCGATAGGTAAAAAAACATCTCTAACAACTCTCTCCGATTAGGGGATGTTGCTGATGACCGACATTGTCAGATTTGAAATCAGCGTCTGAGAACTGCGAGGCTAGTTAGATAAGGGGATGCATGAGGGCTCGAATTCATGCCTTTGTGGATGAGCCACGGAGACCTCTGACCTCACTGACCCCGGGCAGCCTCCAGTCTCTCGGTCAAATGTAGGTCCGGTAGCGATGCCTTCACCTTCATCTTGCCCGCTGACCTTCCAACACCAAAGCTCTTCACCTTGATGAGGATGAATCACCCTCGTCAATCACATCACGTGACCACCCTCTGCCTATAAAAGAGATCTCTTCAACCGCAACCCCTTTTCTTCTTCACTCCCTTTTTCATCTACAATCGGTTGGCTGGGTCAACCTCGCAGGCTTAATTCCACTTTTACAATCAATTTATCAAGCTTTCATCTCGGTCGCATCCAGCCAACTTAGCATCTACCCCTTTTCTTCAACTTCATCCATCACTTACCTCGTTACTTCAAAGACAACTGCATTTATTTTCAGCACGATCCACACCCAAGAAAGAACCCTTCTTTGATTTTCATTCAATTTACCCGCCCTTGCCGTTGAAAGGGCCCTGTCGGTGGCTTTCAACAACTCCCTCCCTCCCTGCCTTTGCCTTTGGGGGCCGTCCATCGTTGTCTGCGTCTGCACGATCCACAACCTAGCATCCTTCGTCAACCCTATTTCCCTCATTTTATATTGCCTTGAGTTCAATTCGGTAAGGTGGCCTCACATTCTTCCATTTCGCTCCACTTTATCTATAGGGAGTCAATCTCAAATTCTCAATCCACGCCATTGAAGCCGGCTCTTCCTTATTAGCACAGGTTTACGACCTTCATTATTACAATTTCGCGCAATATCATACGATTCAGCCCGTTGACTAGCATCCCAGCACGGTAAAATCATTTCCCAATCACAGTTTCGCAGCGCGATAAACTCAATCGTCTGTTCAGCCATTCCACTTCAATCCACCGAATCCCCCCTTTTATCGGATTCAAGTCCCTCTTATCTCCAATCTCCAGTCAAAGCCATCGTGCTATTTCCCATTCTTGGCAATCATTTCGCTGGATTGTTCAAGAAACATACGAACTCTTCATCATGGACTCTGATTCCATCGTCAACCAGCCCGAGGCTCCTTTGAGTCCAGAGTCAATGCTCTCGGATGCGACTGCTATCCCGATCGCTTCGCCAAGCTCAGCCGGCCAGAAGCGTAGCCCATCCCCGGCCAACGATGAGCCTTCAAAGCGTGCGAAGACAGACGAGGATTCCGCCGAATCTAGCGATGACGACCAGCAACTGGACAACGAGAATGAGGAACCTGGAGTCGACATCGCCGCCGAAGCTGAAGAAGCCCGGGGGATCAACGAGTCGCCCGATGACAATACGGAAGATGCCTCCACAGTTCGTCTTCCATATGGGTTCCCACCCATTTCTCGCGGTACGATGCAGGAACTCAAGGAGTGGCTCTCAAGCCATGCCAATGTCAATCCCGACAACCATGTCGCTACGGGGATCCACATCCAGCTCTTGAAACCAATGGAGCCTGAAGAACAAGACATGGAGGAGATTTGCGACATGATGGGTGTTGAAACTGACGGTATCAATTGGAGCGAAGGCATCCACGTTCCGGGAGTCATGGGCCGTGGACGAAAAGCCAGGCCTCATCAACTTGCTGGTAAGTTTCAACGCTATCGATCCTCGTAACTCAGGAACCATCGCTGACATTAGCTGCTACAGGTGCAAACTGGATCTCAAGCGCTCTGGAATCTCCCCTTCGCGCTGCACTCTTGGCGGATGAGTGTGGAACTGGGAAGACGGTACAGATTGGCCTCGCACTGGCTCTTCATTATTACCGTGTGAAGGCTGAAGTCGAGGCGGGAACTTTTAGGCCTCGGGATGAGAACCGAAGGTTCAAACCCAGTATCATCCTGTGCCCTGCCGACCTCGCGTACCAAACCTTCAACGAGTGGTCTCGCTGGTTTCCAAACTTCTTCAAAATCCGCATTTGCCATCGCACTACATACCTCACACGCGATCACTTCACCAGAATGCACATAATGCCTCACAAGAATGGTCTGCAAAACTGGGTCAATGAGAATGCTGCGTCCCATGAAGATATCGAGGTAAGTGATGGCTCCCATACTCTGATATCTGTTTACTAACATGTATTTACCAGACCCTTCGAAGCATCGCGATTGTCCCCTACTTTACAGCAATGAGGCGAATGATATTGCGCAGAGGAAGAGAAGATGGTGGCAATGCTGAGGATGGCAATGCCAATGGCGAAGATGACGCGACCAATGGAGATGACCGCGATACCGATGCCGATGACTCTGACGATGAGGTAGGTAGTCAAGCGCAAGTTGGGCCCAAGGGGAAGAAGCGAAAGACCACCGCAAAGGAGAAGATCGACTTCAAGGTCACTGGACAAAGTTACAACTGGATTATTTGCGACGACGTCTACCCGATACGAGGCCCTCGTCCCCTGACACACAAGCTGATTCACCAACTTGAGCACGAAGCGACACTTGTCACCTCGGCGACGCCACTCCTGAACCAGCAGGATGACATTTAGGGATATGTCACACTGCTATGGAAGCGACAGTGGCCGTTTGTCTTTGCCAATACCGAAGGTGGTATCAAAGCTGAGGTGTATTTTGACAAGGACGCCTGGCCCACTATCAGAGATGGGGGAGAGTTTGGAGGCTTGACCATCGATCACATTATTCAGCCAGATCATGAGCTTGATCCGTCAACCGCCCGTAACAAGCTCATCAGGAACGAATACATCAGGTATATCCGCGAAAAGACAGGGCCATTGTTTCTCATGAACCCCGACCTCTTCCAGGCGTTTCGCGAGATCAAGTTCGAGCGGCCTGAGATGGCACGAGAGGCTATTCGACCTCTTTTGGAAATGTTTTGTCTTCGTCGCGGGATGTTGACACCAGCTATCATGCCCGACGGTACTTCCGTTGTCCCAGGCGAGGGTATCCCCCAAATGTGTATCCGAACAGTCATCCTTCGGTCCTGCAACGACCATGACCAGCAGGACTTGTACCAGATTGCGAAGCATCACTATCCTGATCTCACCTCAGCATCAAATGAGGATGACGAGCACATTGGACATGGTACGATCGACAAAGCCAAGCTCACGTGGGTAAACCCGGCTGTCCTACGAACACTGGCTCTGTCGACAACTAACGTGGAGTTCTGGCCGCTCACCCAGAAGAGAGGCGAGGATGGAAAAACCACGTTCCTTAACTCCAAGCCTATTCAGAACTTGCTGAACAAGCCATCTCGCTTCGAGAGACTCCAGTCTTTTAGTCTCCCTGGAGCAGCCGCTCCTAACGCCGCCCCCACCGCTGCTGCTGACTCGGAAAACATCGAAGAGGCTCTTTGGAAAGATGGAGTGGGCGGCTTGAAATGGTACTTTGGCCAATTGAAGCTTGCCTATGGCGATGATTTGGAATTCCCTTTGGTCCGCGAGGACATCCCAAAGACATTTTGTTCACGAAGCCCCAAGCTTTGTTGGACGATTAACCGGGTCCTGGAGCTCAAGGCACTGGGGAAGCGAGTTTTGATCTTCGTCAATCATCCGCTGACCTCGACGTAAGTTTCCCCGTACCGCTCACTCTCACGATATACTGACTCAACCTTTGGACAGGATCTTGACTGCAATACTTACAAGTCTTTGTGTCGAGACTCTCAACATCCGCAGTAGCCACACCGTAGATAAGCGTGCTCAGATGGTTCGAGAGTTCACCAATCCTCAGAACCGAGCTGAAGCCTTGGTTATGTCGTTCCAGATTGGTGGGTTCGGTCTGAACCTCCAAGGAGCCTGCCATCATGGCATCATCGTCGAGTATCCAGACAACTTGCCTACGATGCTGCATGCGTTTGGTCGTCTCTGGCGAATGGGGCAGGAACGCGAGGTTCACTGGGACGTTTTGTACCTCGAGAAGTCATTTGATGGCTGGACTGAATCACGTATGGCGTCGAAGTATGCTGATATCCTCGCGGCAGAGGGAGACATTCCTGACTTGATTGTCGGGGAATACCGTATCATCTGCGGTTTTGAGCTCATCAAACGATATCTCGGACAGGACAGTAATCGCTACCCCAGAACTCGCGTCACCTGGTCTGAGCAGGATCACCCCCTTGTGGCTCGCGAGGGCCACTTCTACTCAGCAGTAGCCCAGTATCTGACGCAGAACCCCCGGCATATTACGAAGTTTCAAGGTAGAGACCTCTACAAGATCGCACGTCGCTGGACTCCAGAGCATGGAGACTTGACCCTTGACATGATTGAAGGGAGGTCTCCGGTCTTGGTGAATGGGGTTATCTTGGACTCACGAAACCCCTTCACTCCTGGCTATGTTGCAGTCGTGGAGACTGGTAATCTTTACCGTGACCTCGTACAGCGTGACGAGATTCAGTCTAACTTGGCGGTTGATAGAAAACGGTTGGAACTCGAACGGCGGCGACGAGTGGGAAGCTTGGGGTACATGAATGGTTAGTTTTGGTACGGAGTTTCCTGGAATGATGGAACTTGGGCGTTTTGATCACAAATATGGACACATCAATTGGTGGACTGGGCCATCTACAATGGGACTCTGGGAGCACAAGGCTGGGAGGGTATGGTGCTATCTGGTGAATCTGGGATTCGGAGTTTTCTGGCCTGATAACTGCAGCATAAAAGTCCATATTGTGCGATATTAGCTTGCTACACTGGGTTGCTATTTGAATGCTATATTTTTGGTAACCTTCGTTTCCCGTATGCCTCCAGAAAGAGACCGTACGAGAAATCAATCTTTGGGAACCACATGCTTCGAAACTGAGGCGCTTCCGGGTAACGAGCAGATTCCTTGCAAATAAACAACTAAACAACCCCGATCTACGCTGAACTAGCGACCTTTCTCGTCGAGCAGAGCTAAGCGACAACCGTTTGTAGGCACAGTCTCAGCCTCTGTAATGCTATCAAGTGATTGCGTACAATGCTCCTTTGAACCTGAACACCCTACAGCTTCGAAAGAAGCCAATCACAAGAGCCCGAGCGCGAATTCCTGTAGCGGATTTAGCGCATGAGGCTAGCTGTTCCCCGCTATCTTCTCTGACCCTATGTCGTTCACCCCAGATTCAATTCCACCTCTCACAATATCCCAGCCCAAGTCGGTCAACGTTATGAAACGAGTGAAATGCTGCACCGCTTGTCGCCGCCGACACAGAAAATGTGTCACTCAGCCTGGAGCATCGCAATGCGGCACATGTCTAGAGTCAGGGCAGGAGTGTCGGTTTGAGAATGACATTCGGTTCAAACACATTCACTCAGAAGCGCAGAAGGAATCCGGGCGGAAGTGGGCAAAGGTTTCTCAGAAGAGTAAGTCATTTTCAATGAGCCCTCATGTCTGGGCTTTTACTGACCTAGTCTAGTTTCATTCACGACACCTCGTGGGATTGATGGCAAGGTGCCTGAGGAAGCGGACACGAGGCCGGAGACGAATGAGTCGGCGACGCAGCCGATATCTGAAGGGATGATGGAAATATCGATTGACGACCCCGTACACTCCCAACCAGAAGTTGGGTCATTAGAGCAGGTGTTCAGTTATTGGGAGTTGCCTTCAAACATCATCACGGACTCCCCGATTGACCAGAACATGACCCCAGCATATCACGCAGATCACTCAGAGAGTTCGTCACTCCCACGAGCATCCATCCCATTTATTCTTGAGCCCGAAAGGTCCACTCCCAATTCCACTGCTCAAGATTTGACCCACCAAGGCCACAGTCCGGATCCCTTCGAGTTGACGGAGCGAGAGGCCTTTCTCTTCATGACCTACATCCACAAGCTCGCACCTCTTGTAAGAAGTCACCCCTCAAATAGGTCAAAGAACTAACCCTTCAAGTCCGACGCATGTGATGACGCCCGACATTTCGCCCTCGAAGTTCCCCGTCTCGCCCTCCACCAACCCATGATAATGAACGGCCTCCTCGCCCTCGCAAGTCGCTACGACTCCCGCTGCACCAACACCTCCGACGACATCGAAAGCACATTCTATCACAACAAGTGCATAAAACTCCTCATAGAAGCTTTCGCTCAACCGCCCGAGACCTGGGACTCGACGCTCCTCACGGCTGTTGTTATCGCGCGCTTGTACGAGGAGAACGATAATGAGACGGATTCTTACTATCATCACCTCAGTGGGACCCAGAATCTGTTGAATCATGAAGTCATCGCGCGGTTTGTGATGCAAGGTGGGCTGGCTGAAGCGGCGAGCTATCTACGTCTACGTTGTTCGCAAGGAACCGCTTGAGATATGTCTTGAGAACTTTGAGAGGTCAACGGTGTTTCGGAGATCTGATGATTCGGCGTATGCGAACAGAGCTGTCTACAACTTTGCGAGACTGATGAAGCTATTTGTCCAAATGGAAAGTACGGTTGGTGACTTTGGGGAGTGGGAAGCTGTCGAAAGAGAGGTCGAGGAATGGTATAACGCCAGACCGGTTTCATTCAAGCCAATATTTCACAAGGCGGTGGATATCTCGAGCGACAGGCCGTTTCCAGTCATCTGTTTTGCTGCGTCGGTGCCTGGTGAGTTACAGTTTGCCTTCACAATTGTCGTTTGCTAACATGCTCGAGTGGTGGCAATGCAGCATTACTACGCAGCCAAAACTGTTTTATGCTTGCGCGACAGCAAACAGATGACAGACAATTACAGCAGACAAGAACCCGAGGTGCTTCAATACCGGCTCTCTTGTTGGTAAAGGCTGACTGATTGTTAGAACAACATATCTTCATATCTCTGCATGCTGATGGGTCTTGCTCTGTCCAATTCCCATGTCGCAAACGCATTCTATCTGCCAGCACATATGCTTTCACTCTGTATGTTTGCTCCTCTGTCTAAACGTGAGGATGGTTGCTGATGTGAGTTTGTTTGTAGGTGGATACTGCATAAGAGACCCTTGTGTGCAGACACATACCATACAGTATCTGGACGAAGTTGATGATGTGATCAAATGGAAGACAAAGGCACTTATTGGAACTTTGAAGAGGGAGTGGGCCAGTCAAGACTGACACGGAGCTCTGTCCCAACTAACTTAGGAAGTGAAATACAAATGATACACAAGCAAAGGGATGCAATAAAATTTAGGACCTCTATCCCAAGTAACAAAAAGCCTTAGGTAAACTTAGGTAAGCCTCGTATACTTTAGTATAGACTTAAAGGATCTTAGAGTGTGCTGACACACACTCCGCCCCTCCAAGTCCCGTCTGCCTCGCTCCTTGGAACCTCTAACTCTGATAGTTGATATTTCTGTCACCTTATTAGCTGGGGCAGGGATTTTGAGCGCCGCGAATGTCGTGATGACGGCGTCGATACCGTAAATGCCGCTGTTGAACTCATTGACGAGGCGATGGCAATCCTCGTCTGGCCAGTGAGTGGCGACTTCGTGGGCGTTGATTCGACTGGCGAGCATCTTGTCGCTTAAAGTACTGTTGATCTGTTAGCATCTCTTCTGCGAGACCCTTGCTACGACTTGCACTGCGGTCTCGTTCTCCCTGACGATGATCAGCACAGGCTGCTTTCCTTGGCCTTTCAGCTCAGAGACCGCAGTCACTGCATTTCGCATCTTCAAGTCAAGGACTTGTGCCTGGTTGTTGAGAAGAGGCTCCGTGCTCTCTGTGAGATTTGGGTCGTGTTGTAGCGGCTCCATTGTAAGAGATTTTTGTAAGAAGAAGTCTGTTTGCGGTTTCAAATTGAATGGTAATGGAGAAAGTGGATGATAAAAGAGAAATGAAACGGTGAAGAAGTGGAAGTGGTGGTCTTGAACTTGATCTCGAGTGTGAAACGGAAAGAAAGACCCCAGCCACGTCATGCAGACCAAGAGTCCTTCCTGGCCAGGGAAGGGACAAAGGTCCAAAACTTGGAGACGCAATGGCGGAATAACAGAATGAATTTATGCAAAAAAAATTCTAAGCTTAGGATAGATTATCCAAGTCTTTTTATTATTTAGGATAATTTACCTAAATCTTTTTATTATTTAGGATTGAGGGCTAAAGGCACTGGTCGCTCTATCTATACCTTAGTATTACTAGCAGTGCTAGGCACAAACGCTCGCGCGATTAGGTAGACAGACAACCCCATCACATCAAGCTCAATTCAATGTATTACCATCCGCGATCGATCCGTTACACATCCGAACCTGCACATACTCCGAATCCATCCAAGTCTCCTCCAGCTCATCCGCCAACCCAAACTCGTACCAATCATAATTGACCTTCTCCCCAAAATTCCCACGACACTCCGTCCCATCCCCACCAGGAAGACCCCACTCCCTAGCCCGCATCCTCTGACCAACAGGTTCAGTCGAATTGTTGTGCCCGTAGTTACACAGACTGAAGTAGTACTTCCCGCAGATCGACACATAGCAGTGTTTGGGTTCGACGGTCAGCGTGTTGGGGGTAAAGACGATGCCAAAGTCGTCGACGGCATTTTGGAGGTCTTGGTTCGTTGCGCCGCTGGTTTGTGCGCAGGTCCAGCCTTTGGCTTTGCCGAGGCTCGACATTGAGAGAATTCCTGATATTGTGTCGAGGAGCAACTTCTGTTCAGTTTGTTGTTAGCGCTGCGTTAATGCTTGATCTGGAGGTTGCTTCTTACCGTCTTGGGTTCGACTTGGAGAAGTGACTGGAATTGAGATAGCTTCGGGTAATTATGAAGAGATAATAATAATGAATGAACGTTCAGAAGTTAAATATTTCACACCTTAGGGTTAAGACCTGTTCAGATATTAACTTCTGCGGCTGAAGGATAAAAAGTATAGCGGGGTGTTTAGAGGTCTTGCTTCTGATGAATCAGTATTTCAGCCTTTTAAGCTTATCACTGTGACGCTGAAGCGAAAGTCTATCTTCCCGAGTGTGATTCTTAACAGTAATTCTCTCATTGACACTTTTACAATGAGTACCAGACTGTCCCAGGAGTTCAGCGCCTATTTAAGCATTGCTCACGAACTTCGGCCTGTCTGGCAGGATAATATTCAAAGTTCCCTACTCACCCTTATCCAAGACTTGCCCGATCGGTCCATCGCTTACCCGTCTAGCCCCGTGGTGAATGGCTTCATAACGAATCCTAATGGAACGAAGACGGTTAATGAGTTAGTCTCATCGCTGACTCAGTGCACGCTGTTGACTATTTAAACGTTGGTCCTTTGTTCTTACTATTCCTTTCTCCCCAACGTTCCAAACTAAAACACAAAGCTTCTCAATAATATACCTACATCGTCCTCAACTTATCTTATCCTCATCCAAGCTACTCCCGACAAACCATCTCAACGATGTATTCGCCACCTTACAAGTGGACAGCCACGCAGGCGCTTGAACTGCTCAAGAATGATACCATCTCCGTGGAAACATATGCCCAGTCGCTCCTTGATCGAATCCATGAGAGATCGCACTATCAAAGCATGGGCGTATCTCGGTAAGCTCTCTTAAAAAGATGGATGAAACAGAGGTTCATCTCATGGCTAACGGCCAACAAGATCCCGATCTCGTTCTGACCCAAGCTCGGTTCCTTGACAGACTTCCCGCTGACCAGAGAGGACCTTTGCACGGTCTTGCCATCGGAATCAAGGATATCATGGACACGAAAGGTATGGTGTGAAGACAATATATATGATAATGGCTCACTTTTGTTAGACATGCCTACAGAGTATGGCTCTCGCATCTACGACAGACACCAGCCAAGTTTCGACTCCCATGCTGTCGCGACTCTTAGAGCAGCTGGCGCACTTATCTTTGGTTAGCAACACACAAAATTCCCCGTTTCCATAGTCTCTAACTCAAGTTCTAGACAAGACGACGACGACTGAATTCGCGGTAGCAAACTACGGACCCTGGACGGCGAATCCCCATGACCCGAAGCACACTCCCGGCGGCTCCTCAAGTGGTTCAGCAGCAACCGTAGCAGATTTCCAAGTCCCCCTAAGCCTCGGCTCACAAACTGGGGGCAGTGTCATTCGCCCTGCATCTTACACCGACGTGTTTGCCCTGAAACCGACCTTTGGTGCCATTTCGACTGAAGGGCAGAAGCCCTGCGCGCCAAACTTTGACACAATTGGGTTCTTTGCACGTAGCATTGATGATCTGCAGTTACTAGCCGATGTCTTTGGTCTCAAGGATGATGATACCCCTAAAGATATACCACTTGACCAAATTTCTGTCGCCGTGATCAGGACACCGTTCTGGTCCTCAGGTGGAGCCAGTACGCACAACACCATGAATATTTCCATCAACGTCCTTGAGAGAAACGGTATCAAAGTCGAAGACGTGTCCTTCCCAGCAGAAGTCTCAGACCCCGAGGTGCTGGGAAGAGTCCAAGATATCATCATTCAGAGCGAAGCACGCGTGTCGCTATTACCAGAGTATCGCCTTAACAAAGCAAAATTGGGGTATGAAGTCCGTGATATTGTCGAAAACAAGCCAAACATCACTCAAGAAGAATTGAGGGATGCATATGATTTGCACGCCAAAATGAGGACTATCGTCAATGAACTGGCTCAGAAATGCGACGTCATGCTCGCACCGAGTGCCGTAGACGATGCACCCGTTGGTCTGGATGACATGGGAAGTCCGATCTTCAATACTCTTTGGACAGTAAGTTTTTCTCCATTAATCCATATGCATTGCCATACTAACTGTATTTAGGGATTTCATATGCCAGTCATAAACATACCCTCGTCTTTCGGCCCATGGGGTATGCCTGTTGGTGTATCACTCGTTGCTCCAAGATTCCATGACCAGCAGTTATTGCAGACGGCGAAGGCGATTGGAGAGGTATTGATGGCCGATGGTATAGGTAGGAGACGAGATGCGGAAGGATTCTGGAACACGAATTGGTAGTTGATTCAACACCTTATTGTGTATTCTGTATTTATGTTCATAGTTTCGAGGAATTAGCTTTTGTTCTTGGGGAAGAGACTTGTCAATGCGCTCCATGATATGATTAACCGCGTGACACTGAGAATGCTCCAAAAAGGGCATCCTCCCTTACCCCCGGAAATATACCGAGTCTCTTCTACGCTTCTTCTGGTGGTCATTCGATAAACAAACCTGGAACACGGGCCGCATTCCCTACCGAATATTTCTCCACTAAGCATAGCGCCCCAAAATAAGCATAACACCCCGCATGTCACCACCAGCACGTAGCATTCCGCTGGCTCTCTTTCCCATTGAGGCTCTACAACGCACTCGCGGTATTTATCCGCACCGCAGATCCCTCCCTCACATAAAACCTCGTCCCATCTCACCTCTCACACCCACTTTGTTCTCACACTCTCATCCTCACCATGTCGAGCACAGCGACACAAACCCAGGAGCCCATTGAGCTTACTACTCTGGAAGGATGTCACGTCCGCGGTAAAGAGCTCGAAGAGCAACCTTCGCTGCCACCGGATGATATTCCCCCGCCGTATGCGTCGGCGCAGGTGCAGCGATGGAATTATCCTAGGGGAAATATAGCCAAGCTGGCTTTTGCTTTTCTGTCGTTTATCATTGCGGGGATGAATGATGCGGCTGTTGGAGTATGTTTCCCCATCGAATCTAATTGACTTTGCTAACGATGTAGGCTTTAATCCCATACGTACGTTGATCAACCCTGTCAAACTACTCCTCTAACAATCGCAGCTCGAAACATACTACGATCTAAGCTACACCATCATCTCCCTCATCTTCCTCACCCCCTTCGCAGGCTACTCCGTCGCCGCATTCACCAACGCCCGCATCCACATGAAATTCGGCCAACGCGGCGTCGCCATCATGGCGCCAATCTGCCACCTCATAACCTTCATCGCCCTCGCCCTACACCCTCCCTACCCCGTCCTCGTAGTCTGCAACATAATGAGCGGTTTCGGAAACGGACTAACAGACGCATGTTTCTGCGCTTGGGTCGGAGCCATGGATAAAGCGAATACCGTGCAGGGCTTCCTACACGCTTTTTACTCGTTTGGCGCTTTGTTCTCGCCGCTTATCGCGACGAGTATGGTTGTTTCGGCGGGTTTGCCTTGGTATACGTTTTACTACGTTATGGTGAGTCGCCATCTATGTGATGTGCTTTGTGCTGGCTGACGGTGTAGATTGGTATTTCTGTGGTGGAGTGGGTTGGTTTGACGATTGCGTTTTGGCAGCAGACTGGGGCGGTGTATCAGGCTGAGCATGCTGCGAATAATGCGGAGGGTAGTGGTGCTGGAACCAGAGAGGCTTTGAAGTCAAGGGTTACCTGGCTTTGCGCATTGTTCTTCTTTGCATACATGGGTGTTGAAGGTATGTCTCCGTGATCCTGATCTTGAAACAGAGTGCTCATTCTTTTAGTCGGTCTTGGTGGATGGGTCGTCACTTTCATGCTCCGTGTTCGAAAAGCTTCAGCCTATGCCTCTGGTGCATCAGGAACTGGCTTCTGGGCTGGTATGGCTCTCGGGCGCGCATGTCTTGGCTTCGTAACCGAACGATTCGGCGAGAGACTCTGTCTGTCGATCTATCTCCTCATCTGCATCGGTCTCCAACTCCTTTTCTGGCTTGTACCCAAATTCATCGTATCAGCCGTTGCCGTCGCCTTTCTTGGCTTTTTCCTCGGCCCCTTGTTCCCGGGGGCGGTCATGGTCACAGCCAAACTTCTACCAGCCAAGATTCACGTATCGGCTATTGGATTTGCCATGGCTATCGGTGGTACTGGCGGAACGGTGTTCCCGTTCGCCATTGGAGCTATTGCTAACCATAAGGGTGTTGGTGTTTTGCAGCCAATTATTCTTGCTCTGATTACTGTTGTTGCTGGTGTTTGGTTGAGCTTCCCCAGGATCAAGAAGAAGGATTAGGACACTGCAGCTGGCGATGCTGTTGCAGCTCAACGGCCAGAGCGGGACTGCTATTTTACAGCTCGGTCATGATGCAAGAATTATTATGAGAGGCATATGTGGGACGAAGTTAGTTGAATGGGTAGTAGAATCACTCGATGAGCGTCCTTTAAAGGGATATCTCAGTACAGGAGTGGCCATTAAGGAGATATCACCATTGGTGCTATCATGAAGCATTGGAAATTTTCCTTTTTACTCCCCATTACGAAGGTCCATCATAATACATACTCTTCTTGATGTGTCATCTTTATTTCCGCCTCATCTACCCCAGATTCCGTTTCGCCGACGACCAGTAGCTGTAACGGCAGCTCGGGAAGAACCCCGATCTTAATATCCGGGGTACGCACTTCAACCAATCCAACCCCTCCAAACCGTCTTTTCTATGGATCTCTACGGCCAATACTCCCCCAAACTGTCGATCTTGAACCGTCCATCGGCCAGAATTACCCACTAAAGAGCCGGCATTCTCTCAACATGCCCCATCGGCCGAATGCCCGTGTTCACACTCCAGCAACTGCGTTACACCCAAACTCGTATCATTATAATACCCTGACACTTCCATTCCCTCTCATTCTTACCACTATCACAATCTCGCAATCTCACGCCAAAATGTCTAAACCAATCGTCCTCCATCTCGGCGACGACATCAAATGGAACCATGATCTCTACAAGACCTTCACATCTCACTTCGAGATCAAGCGCTCGCACAGCATGTCCCGCCCGGACTTCATCAACGCCCTCAAGCAAAAGACCTTTGGTGACTTTTTCGCCATCTACAGACCGTTCTGGAACACAGGCGGTGAGATGGGAAATTGGGATGATGAATTGATCTCTCTTCTCCCCGCATCGTGTAAGATTTATGCTAGTGCAGGAGCGGGCTTTGACTGGGTTGATACAGCTGCACTTGCAAAGCGAGGTACGTTCACCACTCCACTACTTGAATTACAGTTTGTTAATGAAGATTGTCTAGGCGTCACGTATTGCAACGCAGCAGCCGCTTGCACTGAATCCGTAGCTGACGCAGCAATCTGGCTCATCATCTCCGTCTTCCGCAACCTCAGCTGGTCCAGCACAGCAGCCCGCTCAGGCGACAAGGACAAATTCATCGATGCTAACAAGAACCTCGCCCCCGTGTCCCGCAACCCCAGCGGCTTCACCCTTGGAATCATCGGTTTCGGGCGCATTGGCCGCCGCATCGCTGAAAAAGCGTATAAAGCACTTGACATGAAGATCATCTACAACGACATCGCCCAAATGCCCTCGTCAATTGAAGAACCCCTCAACGCAACCTTCAAATCATCAGATGCTCTCCTCGCTGAGGCAGACTGCGTCGTCGTCGCTACACCCTTCGCCGGCGAAACGCTGCTTAACAAAGCTGGTTTATCAAAGATGAAGCGTGGTGCAAAACTAGTTAACATTGCGCGTGGAAAACTCATCAACGAAGCTGATCTCGTTGAAGCGCTTTCTAGCGGTCATTTATCAGGCGCTGGACTAGACGTCTTTGAGAATGAGCCGTACATCAGCCCGGAGCTGCTAAAGATGAAGAACGTGGAGTTGTTATCGCACAACGCGGGTGCGAGTCTGGATTCACATATTGGCTTTGAGAAATTGGGGATGGAGAATATCATGGAGTTTTCGAGGACAGGGAAGGCGATTTCGCCGGTCAATGCTCACTTGATCAAGCAGAGCAAGTTGTAATTCTTGGTGTTAAAAATGATATGTCGTTAGTTTGAAGGATGGTTGTTTACTCAATGTGATACACTTCTGGTTCCCTTTGATTAGGAATTGTCTTTTTGATAATTGATCTACAGAAGGATCGGGGCTTAGATCAAAAAATGCCGCGATCTCGTTGGATGCTCCTTTGGGTGCATGCATAAAGACGTGCGTTTAGCGGCTGACGGATGAAACGTGACATCTCTCAGGTCAGATCCTTCACCAACACCAGGATCAACCAATCCTTTCATCACTACGCTTCCTTCACTACTCACATGGTAAACCATTCTCAATTCACTAATACCTTGAAACATTCTCAGTCTCGGCTCACACCTTGACATTCTCATCCATCCTCCTAACTGGCCATCTATCCGCCATCCCAATCTCATCACCACACAAAACACCCAGAAACAATCTCAATTAAACGCTCCAACAAATCACGATCCCCAAATCACCTCCTCGGAGCATTTCTACCAAATCGGCCCGTTACTGGCCCTCTCGAGATGAAAGGAGCATGGACTTCATCCCCCTCTTGAACCCTTGTTTCAAACATTCGCACTAGTCCAACAAATCACATCGCCCATCAGCACATCTACCATCAGATGAAACCCCGTTTCATCCTTTCCCTCAGATATATATTAAAGCTGTTTCTGAATACCCCGGTTTATAATGCATCTCGAATGTTTCCGACCTGCGATCCCTGGGAATATCACCACTGAGTCTTTTTTATGAACTGAAACATATGACGGGTTGTAGTATATAGATGTAGTAATTGACCAGAATTAATCGCGCTCTGTAGCTTTCTATATCACATTCTTTTTAAGTCATTCTTTGATAGAATGCGTTCATTCCTTATTTTAGCTTGCCTTCTCGGCACCGCTCTATCCGCTCCTTTTAAAACATCTTCTCTCGATACCACCCGCGAAGGCTTTCTCAAAGTTCATCCAGGCGGTACAAACGATGTTGAAGTAACAGATAACAATCTCCTCAACGGCACGTACGCAAGAAACAAAACTCGTGTTTTGACACACCGCGCTGAACAAGCGACGTTGCCACTGAAGCTGGTGAACAACTTCAACGGCGGAAACGTCAGAGCCTACATCTCAGGGCTGGACTCTGACGGTACTGTCGTCTTCATCGGCGCGAGTGGAAATCTTGTGTATCCTAAATCAGGAGGCTCCAAAGTCCCTGTTGAGATCAAGGATAACATCGCTATTCCTCTTCCGGCACAGGGTCAGACTCTTGAGTTTACGGTTCCTATCTCTATGAGTTCAGGGCGTGTTTATTTCGCCAATCAAGATCTTCACTTTTTTGTCGTTGACATTGGAAGTGGCGATGGTTTAGTCCAGCCCTCTGTTACGAATCTTCAAGATCCTAGTGCTGGTGTAGACTGGGGTTTTGTGGAATTCACCTACACGAATGGTGTTCTATACGCCAACATCAGTTATGTCGACTTTGTCGGTATTCCTCTCGGGATGGGCCTTTCTCTCAAAGATGGGAGTACGCAGTCGTGTGCTGGACTTGAGTCTGGTGCTGTGAGCAAGATCTGCGATGATCTTGTTAAGCAGAAAGATAAAGATGGGAGAGCTTGGACGTTTATGTGCATTGCGAATGCGCAGGGTAAACCAGTCCGTGTGCTTTCGCCGGGGAATCAGTATGATCTTGAACCGATTACCTTTGGGGATTATTGGGATACGTATGTCAATGATGTGTGGAGTAAATACTCTTCTCAAGACCTCATCATCAACACGCAGTCTGAAGCAGGCAATGTCAAGTGCCGCGTCACAGGGGACCAGCTCACTTGTGACGGTGACAACCGAGGATACGGCAAACCCAACACCAAAGACATCTGGGGCTGCAACAGCGGACCATTCACTGTAATTGAAGGTGATAATGCAGTTCACGCAGCTGTGGTTCCTCGGCTCTGCGCCGCGTTTGTTCGAACTACACTCCTTGTTGACGGAGGCGATACACAGCCCAAGTTGGGGCAGGAATCGTACTACAAGAATGATCCTACGAGTCATTATAGTCGCATTGTACATTCTTATGAGGTTGATGGCAAGGGATATGCGTTTCCGTATGATGATGTCAATCCGGATGGGAATGAGAACGCTTCGGGTGTTGTTTCGGGCGAGCCGGAGACTTTGACGATTTTTGTTGGTGGACCTTCTACATAGGAGATGTCTGTATATTATTTACTTCTTGTAAGAGTATGTTATTGATCATGATCATTGTATTCTCAGTGTTTGTCCTATACTGCCTGTTTCGTGTCCATTTCATCGTGGCAGGTTCGCTGTAAGACTTTCCAATCTTCGAATTGGCCTAAATCAAGTCGTATCGTCAACAACAAAGCTTGATGTGAGTGTAGCTCCAATTCACATTGCATGAATAGGACTCACATAGCAGGCAGCCAAGACAAAGTACAGTACTAAGGAAGCACGAATCGTACAATTTGTATCTCCAAAATATCACAACCGATCATCATCGCTACTTTGCAAATAATCCTTCTAAGCAATTTAACGCTATGCCTAACTATACAATATCATTCTTACAATCTCGCAGCAGCATTTCCTCCAGAACAACAACTCTTACCCCCAAAAGCCAACTGACTAACCTTATCACTCTGATCCAGCGCCCCCTTCTTCTCCGCAACCTGCGTAGGTGTAATAGAGTAACTAGGCGGCACATCCATACAAGGATTGTTCGTAAAGAAGTTCCTAGGTCGGAGCAACAACGTCATTGGCTCGACAGGCATGATGGGGAAGTCCTCGGGCGCAGGGATGTGCGTCACGCCGAAAGTGTGCCAGAGAACAATGTCGGTGTTTTCTGTGGATGCTGTGCCCTCGGCGATCCACTCGGGAAGACCTTGAGAGGGCTCGCCGGATGTTTGGGGGACGTGACGACCTGCTGCCCAGAGCTCATCGTCGCGATCTGTACGGTGTTAGTATCATGCTGTGTCAAAAGAGGTGAAGGACTTACAAGGTGTGACGTGCACAGCGTGGCGGGCAAAACCAGCTCGCTTCCAAACCAGGGATCCTTCCTTTGGCAAAAGGCCTGGAACCTCTCTGCTGACAAGCTTATAAGACGCAGGCTTCTTGGAATAAGGATGCAGCTTATTCTCATTAACCATCTCCCACGTCCTGCTCGTCGCACCGTTATAATCCGTCTTGGCCTGCCCACTCGTCCTCAACTTTGTCTTCTTCGCGTAAAACGCATTGCCGTATTTATTCTGGGGACTTCCGACGGGTGCTTCGCTAGCAACCGTATCAACCATGTTGACAGTGTTGTTCACACCATCGATCATGGGGTTCACGCGCAGACAGAATAAGTGCTGATGGTTGTGAGCGTTGACCTGAGGATAAACCTCTGTGCCCCACGGTCCAGCTTCTTCACCTTCGCCGAGGGCGTATGTGTTGAGAATACCGGTGAGTTTGATCTCAGGCTGGATTGTGCCGTCTTGGTGGAACACCCACTGGCATGCGTACTCGTAGTTAGCCGCTGTGAAGATCTGCTGCACGATGAGTTTTCGGGCACGTGTGACTGTGACGGAATCGTCGCGGAAGTCAGTGTGCTTGAAGAGAATGCCGTTATCCTCCTCGTGAATGCAGATAGCGTTCTTGATAGTGCGGATGGAACCATCGCGCGCGGCGAATTCGGCGTCGAGGTAGTGAATCACACCCTTGCAGTCGCAGCCCAGGGCAAGAGAGTTGGCCATGTATCCCGCACCGTATTCACCAAGATCAAAAGCGTGCTTTCGATGATGAGGATGTTCAGGCGCACCGTACGGGACCACCATCTCTGAGAGGGAGAGACGGTAGAAGATAGGTCGCTCGATACCCTTGTCGGTAAAGGTGATGTGGTTCAGCACAATACCCTCCTTGTAGTTGAAACCAATATGGAACTTGAAGTTCTGCCATGACAAAACACGGCCATTCATGGTGAACGAGACACCTTCTGGCTGAGTAATGTTGATAGGCTTGATATCCTTTCGGTAACCACCGTTCTCGTTGATGTAGCGAGGAGTGTAGTCAATAGCCTTCTGCTTGCTCAATGGGCGGCGCACGCTGGGGATGTCAATGTGGATGATGGCCTTCTTGGCGCCGTCGTAGATGGGGCAGAAGTCAAGAGGGTACTGATACTGGAAGGTATCGGGGTCAGGGCGGTAGTACATGAGCGCCTGCTGGAGACGGATGTTGCTGCCGAAGCGCTCGTCGTAGCCGATTGTCCAGGGGTCGCAGTAGACCTTGTGCATGTCTGACTTGGGGATGCCGGAGATTTCGCACTGTTCTATAACCTTGGGGTCTTTGCGCATGATCTCCTCGACCTGGATGAGTTCCTCAGGTGTGATCTGTCCCGTCAGCCAATGTTTAGCGTAATTAAGGAGTGAGGAAACTTACAATAGGTTGAAGGCCATCAAGCTTCTCCCACTTCTGGACCTTTCTCGTCTTCAGATCCACAAGACCATCGTAAACTGCTCCATCGGGAAGAATGACAGTGACATCCGCAATTCTCGCAGGTTTGTTGCCATCAGAAGGATGCTCAAGCCACCTCAACATCTCCTTCTTGCGGGGCTCATGTAGAGTGACAGCATTGAAGAGGAGTTGGCCGGACTGATACTTGCGGATCGCCTCGACGGCAGCGGCGATCTCGTCTCCGGAGAGAGGATCAAAAGGATGATGTTGCGTGAGACCCATGATGAATGACTGACTGTATCAAGGTTTGATGGTTAGGTGAAGATGGTAAGGGGAGGGGAGGAGAGGAGGGGATATATAGTTTTTGAGGGACATGATGATAAGAGCGTCTCGAGTTGGAAATACACGACTCTTTTTTCCGTATCGGGATTGATGCGTGACAGCTCCTCTAGCTCTCGGGGTGGGGAGGCGATATCGCGGGGTAACGTGAATCGTGAGGGGAGCCTCATCGGAAAGATAAACTGGATTGGGGTTAGTTATCAGTAGATAAGATAATTGGAGGTGTGCGCTTGAATTAATTACAAAACAGGTAATTATAACCTGTTTGTCCCGCCGGTTATTGAGTGCCGTACGTAACAAGATCATGATGGAGAGGAATATCTCTCTTTTGGTACTTATTGCACCTCGTGACACTTACCAAAGAAGCTGTTTTATCCAGAATTAACCTTTTCCATCTTGAGCCAGATCTGGAGTGGATAAAAGTCGATTGAGTCCAGATTTTGTCTTGTTTTGTTTTCTTTAGGTAAGAATATGAGCTTTCCCCAGATTTTGCGATTAAAGCTGTGCCGATTGTCGCTGCGAGTAGTGTTGAGTCACGACAAGCTGTTCTCAATTGCAGAGACAAACCACTTTCTTGTCGTCGCAAACATGATGCGTGTTTTGTCAATTGCAAGTTGCGATACTCTCAGGCTGGGCCTTGGTCTTGATCGCTGACGGATGACACTTTGTCGCGATTGATGCTTGTCTCAGCGCCATCATCAGCACTCCAAGGGCCATCTCAGCTCCCCAACACCAACCAGCGGGAGATATCCCAGCAATTGTGTCGCGCCAGCGTCATGAAAGCCCTGAGCTGAACAATCCACCCTCGCGATGGGCCAGTACAGAGTGAACTATCGCGTCGCTGCGATATTCGATGTTGGCCACAATTGTGTGTGTTTGCTTCTGTGTCACCTCCTGAGTCCTGCATGCTCAGGCTAGGACTCGTACCAAAAGAGAATTGCGCAATTGCGCGCTGCTCCAAAATAACATGAGTGAGGTCACATATTTTAGCCTGTATTTCCCACGAAATCATCATTTGCAAATTCCTCTCTTCTTTTTTAATATCATCCACATTCTTTATACTCAATAGCTATCAATAGCTATCAATATTACATCGATTTATCATCTCGTTTTGTTTCGGCGACTTTATCCTACAAAGGCATTTGCCTACCTATGTACGTCACCTCCAATGGAACATCGACCGCTCCCCCACCACTCCCCAGCGATACGCCGCTTTCTCGACGAAACAGAATTCGATCAGTACTACCCAATTGTCGTTACCAAAGAACCAGACCGAGAAAATTCCTACGTTGATTCCCACAAAGCACAGCTACACAGCGTTCGACACAACGTCCCCCGCCGAGAGCCAAGCGAAGCCATCAAGTTTCCTTTCCTCTGCGTCTTCCACTTCGCCGGCTGCGATCAGGAATTCTCGAACAAAAGTGACTGGAAGAAACATGTGGTGTCCCAGCATTTAAAACTCGATCGCGTGTTTTGGAGGTGTAACGAAGGCGATTGCGCACATTCAAGAGATACACTGGCGCAATGCAAGTCCGTGCAGACCACTTGCCCATCTAGCCCTGGTCAGCAATTCACGAACAAACACGACTTTCAAATCCATCTTCTCGCTCACCATCAATCGACCAAGCCCAACGATGAAGAGGGCGATATAATATCCCTTCCCAATACAGAGGTAAAATGGCTTGTGGACCGTTCAGACTCGTCGATGCGCATGGTCTGTGGACTGCCTCAAGATCTTGGCTGTCCCATGCCCCAGTGCGCTTCAGTCCGATTTACTGGTCCTGCAGCGTGGGATCAACGCCTCAACCACGCTGCCGAACACTTTCTTGCCAGCCCGCAGTGCATGGGTGTATTCGGAGGTGAAAAGGATGCCGAGCTTGTACAATGGGCCTCCTGCAATGCGGTCAGCATTCTTGAACAGACGCCAGATGCTAACCCTCAACAACATGATTGCAATAAGTCGGTCGCAGACAGTGGCTATAGCAGCAGACCTGATATGCCCCGGCGCCTGGACATGTCGGAGCACGGCGATTCGTCCCCCGCGGTGCCTCGTAAAATGCAGTTATGGAAGAGCGATGCCACATTCTCCGACCGCAGCACGGAGGAACTATATTCGGATGCAGACCTTGTCGGTATTGGAGCCCAGTTTCAAGATTATGAAGACCGGATGACTCTTATTGACAAAGAGATAAACTTCTCTGTATGTAAATCTTCTGAAGAAGTTTCCTCGAAACATGAGTCCACTGGTGACCATCATACCCTCAATACCTCCCAAGACTCGGATTCTGGTGGCGAGTCTGATGAAACGCCCGATCGCAACCCCGAAACTACGGCTCTTATGCAGTGGTCCCGTGGGTGGCTTCGACAATGGCTAGCTCCATTGACACAAGAGAGGCCAAACGGAAATGAGGGTCATCGAAACACTGCTTCTCAAAGCCAAAACTCAACTTCGACCTCCAGCTCCAGCTCCAAAACACAGAAGAAGAAGGGTGCACCTCGACCTCACCGTCCCCCCAAACGTAAGCGCTCCAACGACGATGAAGACGAGGGCAATGGGGAGAGCTCCAAATCCCAATGCATCGATGGAGATTCGGCGGTGCGAATGCTTGCCTGCCCATTCTTCAAGCGCAATCCCCGTAAATACGGTCAACCCAAGTGGAAGAGCTGCGCACACCCTGGTTATCCGAATATGCATCGAGTAAAGTATGTGCCACTTTCAACGCGATGAAGCAATCGATATCTGATCATGAGAAACAGGGAGCATATGTTCCGCAAACACTCGCTGCCCGAGTACCAATGTCGGCGCTGTCGCGTAGATCTCGAGACATCGGAAGCACTCGAGGCGCACTCACAGCAATTGCAGGCGTGCACTCCCTGTATCAGCAATCAAGACGGATTGAGTCAAGATCAAGTAAAAAGAATGAGGAGTAAGAAAGGAGCGGGGAAGAACAAGAGCGACCAAGACAAATGGAACGACGTTTACTCGATTGTCTTTCCTCATGATCAGCAGACGCCCAGTCCTTGTATGTCAGCACCCCCTTCCCACCGCTTCTCTACGAATCCAACTGACGACTTAGATGTCGACGATACAGACCAAGATGAGAATGCTCGGGAGTTTAATCTCTGCCATGAGTTCCGCCGTTTTTTAGAGAGGGAGCTGCCCCCGCTCGTTAGGAGACGTTTGAGCACGATAGGATGTCCCTTGCCGGAGACCATAAAAGACGATATTGAGCAATATGTGAAAGGACTGGTTCCTCAGTTGCAGGGCTCGTTTTTGGGGGAGATGGGCTTTGTGGCGGGTGGGCAGCTGGATGTTGCATCGACGACAAATGATGGGGACAGCTTCGTGGATTCTACGACGACGATACGTACTTCTGAAGACTCGGCGACGACGCTTCAGCAAGACAGCATTTCTGAACACCAGACGACGACGCTGCCGAAAGGAAGCACCTCGCAAGAGGCAATGTCCATGTTTCCGATAAGCGACGGCTCTAAAGAATTGACGACGATGCCTCAAGTTGGATATGACATTGCAGACTCGACTATGTTCCTGGATGGGACTTTGTCTGCACAGGGCATGATGTTTCCAACATCTCAGATAATGCCGCCGTACTTTTCGACGACAAATGAAGATTGGCAGGCTTTTTTGCAGTTTGGCTATAACCCAAATCTTCCCTGAGGGTCTGGTACCTCTTAAGCTACACGTTTATACCTACTGTTGTATAATTTCAGGTTTAATCAAGATGCATTTTCATTGCTGTAGGCCCATAACTAGTGAGGTTTCCACCACCATTACTGACCTAAATGGCCAACGCGTTCTTTGCAGTTGAGACTTGTGGCTGAGAGCTTAACTCAGCGGACAGAACTTAACGTTCTCGGTCCACTACCTGGCCCAGTCCGGAGGGGGGCAGAACAATTAACTGAACTTAGATAAATTATTATAAAACTATTTTAAAATAAAGAAATCTTTGTATTATTTTATGTATATTTAATTATAAAATTATAATAATAGAGAATTTAGTAAGATTAGTTAAGACTGGTTAATTCTGCTGACCCCGGGTAGCCCAAGCTACCTAGAGAGATACGATGATCCCCACCCCAAATTCCGTCCCCCTCAGCTGCCGCGTTTAAGCAATACGTGAGCTCTTTATCTCTTGCACTCCAAATTCCTCGTCATACACTGCCAGGCGCCTATTTGTGTTTCCATGATTCTCAGCCTTGTAGCCGTGCCCGAATTATGGGGAATCGTTGCTCAATCTCTTGCACCGACTGACCTGCTCCACTTGTCAGCTGTCTCACGAGCATTCAATGCCATCACAGAGAAATATCTCTACCGAAAGATAACATGGACCTGGGACCATAGCAAACCGGATGCATCTACGCCCATTCAGCAATTATTGCTCAACCTACTTCACCGACCCGAATTGGCGTCATATGTCCATGAATTCCGCGTTCAGGAGATCGGATATGGCCCGAAACCGCGCATGCGCCATGCAGACTCGAATTCTCTTCGAGACGCCAACGTGGCCATAAGTAGGTAGCTTGATACAGGAAGCTGGATTACCGCGTTCGCAAGATTGGATCAGTAGGCTTTACGACCTGGAGGTAGATACAATCGTCGCACTCATTATTCTGCAGCTGCGGAATGTAGAAATATTGGTGATTGACATGTTTCACCGTGATGACGGATATGGCTCGCCGACACCGAATTTCAGTCCCATTGGAGATGTGCTACGACTGGCTTGCGAGCCTCATTCGATGATGCGGGCGACTAGATTCACACGACTAGAAACCTTTAGCTGGCCTTCTGGAGACTTTGACTGCCGTGCAGAGTTGATCAGAAGGGGGGAGGTCTTGGACATGCTGCCAGTCTTTCGGGCGCCTCGCCTCAGAGAAGTCGCCACCACTTGACGCCGCGATACCTACAGTCTCGTGTTCAGAATCCCTCACGAGTCTCACTTTGCGATACACTACTGTTGGGGAAAACTTTGTGAAGAAATTGCTATCACAGATGAAGAACTTGGAGTTCTTTCGACTAGACTTGTATCGGTCAAGTGAGGCGCATTTCTTTGATGGCCAATCCATCAGCCAAGGATTGATGCCATGCCGCAAGGTTCTCCGTCATCTGGTGATACATTGGGAAGTAGTCGATGACCTTCCTACAGCCGATGTACATTCTTCAACCGTTTTGGGCTCTTTGAAAGAATTCTCTGCCCTGGAAAACCTTGATGCGATAGGCAACGCAGTGATAAATGCTGATCTGACACTGGGGGACGTCCTCCCGCCAACCTTGAAGGTTCTTGTGCTTCGACAAGGGCTAGACGATTTCAATGTTTCGTGGGAGGAGAGTTTCAGCGCGATATTGGAAGAGTTTGGTGATTTGTCTCCTGTGCCAACGCCGTGTTTGACAGAGCTGCGGGTTGGTGTGTGGCAGTTATTAGGGCAAGGTGAACGAGCAGAACATGATCTGAAGGAAAGGTTTCGGGAGAGTCATGGAATCGAGGTCTCCTTCTTCGAGCTTTAGCACCAAGTAAGGGGAGGATGCCACCGTGAGCGCGCACGAGAAATTCGTGGTTCCAAGCAATGGATCTCCCGTTGACTCTGCTTTAGACTTTGTCTTGTTGTTTGTTGTTAGAGCGTAGATTTTGTGCTGTACTCCAGTCATACCCTGACCATCTGCACTGAATCGCCTATTGCTTAGTGCTGGTGCCAACTGAAAATTATTGAGATTTAGTGGCTGACAGCGCTACACGTTAGTGAGCAGGCGTCGCAAGCTGACACTCACCTCACCACCAAGACATCATCACCGACAATGCAAAATACACTCAAATAATCTCATTGTTGCTCAAACTTTTATTAATAGTAGATAGATCATTCGCTCAGACTTGATTGTATATATACCATCCATGACATATCGACCGCCAACTCCAGACATCTATGATTTGCTTTGCTTTGGTGACTTTCCTTTCCGTTCCGTTCCAATAAATAAATGATTGCTCTGATCGAACTCGTACACTATAAAACAGATGCAGCACTCGTTCAATCTCTAAATAATGCAACATGACATAACCCAAAATTACCACAAATATCCAGTATAACACGGTCGCATTCACACTCACGCCTGTCGCGCCTCAAGGTTCTCGTTACTGGCACCCTGTCCAGGCTGCAGTCCCGCTACACTCGCAGCCACGATACCGGGCATGCCCACGACAGACATCATGGGCGAGATGGGCGGTCTGTTTGAGGACCTTGATGAACCGCGGCGGCTGCGGAGCTTGCTTCTAGGTCGAGACTCGGATCTCTTGCGTCGAAGCATCTTCTCGCGCGAGCGCGCCATGGCATCGCTCAACGCCGTCATGCGTCCACCGCGAACACGCTTCAGGAACTCGAGATCATCGCGAATGCCGAGGAGTGCGGTATCCATATCATACCCCTCCAGCTTCTCCTTAGGAAACGGCTCAGTGCCTTCTTCTTCAGAGGTATCCTTCTTCTTGCGCGAGAAGCGGATCCAGCTTGGCCACAGCTTAGCGAGAACCTTGACAAAAGCATGGAACCACTCGTCGGGGAACAACCGAATAAGTACACCGATAGGGATTGAGAAGAATCCAAGAACGAGTGAAATTCCCCATTGGACACCGTTCAAGCGAGTAACGACAAAGGCGTCGCTGCCGAAGAAGATAATGATGATTTGTCCTGCTGCCATGATGGTCATCATAAGCATGAACAAATGGTTGCGGTGGAGACCCTCGAAGATGTTGAGCTTGTTATCGATGCGTCGACTGTTGATAAGCTTGAAGATCTGCATAAAGACAAAGATGTTGAAGATGAGGGATCGGACTTCGCGTTCTTCATAGCCGAGGATTGCATCACGACCGAACCAGAGGACGAAACACACGATGAGCTGGTAGATCGATTGGCCGATGATCATCTTCCACATGGTGATTGTAATAAGCGGTGCAGTTCGAGCTTCGGGTTCGCGGTGAAGCAGACTTCCGGTCGGAGGATCGGTGGCGAGGGCTAGAGCGGCAAAGGTATCCATGATGAGGTTTACCCAGAGGAGTTGAACAGCGTTAAGAACGGATTTCTGCTCATCGTCAGACACGGCTGAGATGAAAGTTACGCCGACAGCTGTGATGTTGACGGTAAGTTGGAACTGCAAGAACTTCTTAACCGAGTCGTTGATAGCACGGCCCCAGCCCAAAGCCACTACAATAGATGAAAAGTTATCGTCCATGAGGATGATATCCGATGCTTCCTTAGCGACTTCCGTACCAGTAACACCCATAGAGAAACCAACATCCGCCGCCTTGAGCGCAGGAGCGTCGTTGGTTCCATCACCTGTAACAGCGACAATCTCACCGAGCGATCGCAGCGTCTTGACGAGGATGCGTTTATCCTCTGGACTCGATCTCGCGAGCACACGCAGCTTCTTGACAACTGCTGTGCGGTCTGATTCAGACAGCTTGCGGAAGTCAGAGCCCTGCATCACGGCGTTGGGCTCGTTGATTGTGCTTTCGGTGAGGATACCGCAGTTGAGAGCGATGGCACGTGCGGTCTCGACATTGTCGCCTGTTACCATCTTGACATTTACGGAGGCGATACCGCAGTCGTTCACAGCCTCGGGAACGCCCTTGCGCACGGGGTCTTGGATGCCTACTACGCCCATCCAGGTGAGGTTATGCACCAAGTCAGTGAGGTCGATATCAGCGTTGTCGTCTTCGGGGCGGAGGGATAGAACGGGGGGCCAGTTCTCAAAGTCGCGGTAGGCAAGACCCAAAGTTCGGAGAGAGTTTGTAGCGTAGTTGAAGATGATGGAGCGCAGTTCCTCTTTTCCATCGTCGGAGAGGGCTTCGGTGGTGGGTGCTGTTGTGGGATCGCCGAGAATGGTGGTGCATTCGCCGAGAACAATTTCGGAAGCACCCTTGATGTAGAGTCTGTACTTGGGCTTATCCTTTGTCGGGCCGGGGATTTGAACAACGGCGCCCATGCATTTGCGCTGGGAGTTGAAGGGGAAGAGACGTGTGATGGGATTGTTGGCGCGTTCGATTGCGAGGGGGCCGAGACCGAGATAGCGACGGGCCCAGTCGAGAAGAGCAGTCTCAGTCTTTGTGCCGACGAAGCCTTGCTTTCCTTCTTCGTCTGACTCGAAAGCTGTGGTGTTGACGGTGATGGCAGTCTTGAGAAGTTCCTTGTACTCGGGATCAAGCTTAGTCGCGAACTGAGCCAGCGCAATAGTCTCTCTCTTCTCAGCACCAGCAGACTCCTTCTCAAACGACGAATCGCCAAAAGAAAAGAGTCCACGAATGCCCAATGAGCCAGCGACAACGGTCATGATATTCTCGGTGAGCGTACCAGTCTTGTCGGAGCAAATAACCGTGGCGTTACCCATAGTCTCGCACGATTGAAGATGTCGCACCAGGTTGTTCTCGCGCGTCATCTTCTTTGTCGCAAAGGCGAGGGAGAGTGTTACTGCGAGGGGGAGACCTTCTGGGACGGCGACGACGATGACGGTGATGGAGGTGATGAGGATCTGGAGAAAGTCTTGGCCTTTCTGCTCGCCTGATTCACGGTTGTTGGGGAGTTTTGCGAGGAATTCGATGAGGAGGACGAAGAAGAGAAGGAGACCAGCTGCGCTACCAAGCTTTGCGATATATCCTGACCAGTTAGTATGGATCTTGC